TATTTATCACAGTAAAGATGGTATACAAAAGCTTTTTAAAGAGCTTTCAACCTCATCCCATTGTCTTTAACACACATTTAACATAATAATATACTCATATTAATATACAAATATACAGTATGAGTACTGTTTTGATACTGACATTTAATCTTTGCACTAAGGTGTGTCTGCACTATTGCAATTGTGTCTGTTGACTGTGGTAAATAAAAGAGAGAACCAAATGCACTGTACAAAAGATCAGCTTTATTGTCAATTTACAATTTCCATGCTGTTCAGATGCCTCATAAGGGCTGTGAGCGTGTCTTGCCCCGCGGAGATTTTTTTAGGTTGCGTCTCCCCAACGTTGCTTCCAGGCGAATACAGAGGAGTTGAAAAGAGCCCTTGGACATTCGGAAATCTTTGATCCACTGCACATTGGTGTACGTTGGCACCACCTTCTCCCACCAGGCCGATGTTCTATTGTTCACCCAGAGAGAGCGCGGGACACGACGCGTTCCGTAGTATTCGCATATCTGGAACACATACAAAGACACAAATTAGCCCTACATAACTCCATAAATCCTACATTAGAAGAAGAAGAAGAAGAAGATTCAACTTATTGTCATTACGTAGTACAGGTACTAATTAACTAGATAGTATTAATGTGATTTAATGAACGTACCATTGCTGTTCTTTGTTCGTCGTCCAATCCTTTTGTTAAGGCTTCTTAACCGCCTTCGCCTTCGCCTCCGACGCAGCATTTCTATTGCATTTGAATGGTCGATCTGTATTTGTATTTGTGGCTGAGTTATTGGCTTAAATAACTCAGTTACAAAGCTGTATAACACGAGCACCAAAACGTCAACTCCATACCGTGTCTGAGGTCGGAAGGTAAACAGAAGCATACAGCGGAAGCGGACGTTTTTTTTCTTCTTCTTCTCTCGGTTTTTTGGCGAATTGCAACTTTAAGGTGCATACCGCCACCTACTGTACTCGCCGTGAAGTTGTTTGCGGCCTGCCAGTAAACCCAAAGCAGAAGAAGAAGAAGTGACGTCAGCGGCTCATTTGCCTAATCCACCCCCAGGAACTCATTTTGGTGTGAACGCGATCTGCTTTAGTTCATCAGAACTAAAAGAGCTCTCATGAACTAAAGTTCTCATGAACTATTGTGGGAAAAGTACTTGGTGTGAACGCCCCTATTGTTGCTGTAAGAAAGTTCTCACCTGTGGTCTTTTTATAGTGCTAACATCCTGATTGATGAGCCAACAATGATGCTATCAGGTGTTTGGTCAGGTGGAACGTGTTTCTTGATCATTGGTCCATGTGTGAGGCATTTTGAATATCAGTGTTTTAAACCAGCTAACACGTGACTTCATGTCAGATTCCTGTGTCTCACGTGGAGAAACGTGTGCAAGCCCCAAGCCTGTTTTTCAGGTCTCAGGCTCGAAAATGACATTCCCAGAACAAATGACTTCCCTTCTAAAAGGGGTAAATTAATAATATTTTTTCTCAAAGCAATGATAAACCTGTGAGTTGGATGTAGAAATGTCAGAATCAATATAGATGTTTTTTATTTTAAAGTAAATTCAGATTGAACATGGTAAAAAGATTTAAATTATAGTGTCCGTCCAAAGATAAACCATTACTTATAGTGAAAACCACCCTTGAATGATGGGATAGTAGACTAAAAGCTTTAGGAATAAGTACCTTGTATCAAGATTGATGCAAAACAAGTGACATTTGACCTTTTTAGAGAGTTTTAGCAAAAAAAAACACCTCTGGGGTCATTTGAGTGGAAATGGGTGTATTTGCCGTTTCTCTGGAACCCATTGGTCGATTTTGATTGACATCTCTTTTGAACCGTTAGAGCCAATAGAATCGATGAGGGATTTCCACATACACACACACGTTACCATTGAGAAGTGGGGGCTATGCGCACGCAGTTTGCCCAAAGTGAAACCTATCTTACGCTCTGAAATCTGAAAACTTAAAACTAGGTTTATTGCTGATGGATTATCAGAAATCATTTCAAAGTGACACAGACACATTGGATTAACCTATGGATTAACCTTCAGCAGCGTTTTTATCGTTTTAATGCCATTGAAGACAACTTTTGATCAGAAAACAACAAAGGTAAGACATATTGCCGTGTTGGCTACCTAATGCTACGTGGGGTGATGTCTTTGTTAGCTTCTCATGTCGCGAGTTCGGATCGGTCAGTAATGATACCAATACCTGTCGAATCTGTGCAATCTCAGTTTGCTAATCGATATCTTGTTTGTGCAGATACGATAAGTAATAAGGGTATTTTAACGTGAGTTCTGTGCTAAGTGTGTTAGCATTTATTCGCGCAGGGCTAATTCAGAACCTTTGTTATTACCCTTAAGTTTCGTTTTGCTAAAATGTGTTAATATTGTCTGATAGCTGAGTTTCTTCCCGTTAAGTGGGTATGACACATTAATAGGTTTTTAAATGTTAAGAAGCCCTCAGACGCTGTTTCTTGCAGATGTTGCAATTTGGGAATGGGGCTTAACAGGTTGAACCTCATATTTGAGACAAGACGTGCGTGAGCGGAACTCTCCTCTATTTAGGGTAAACGTTAAACCTTTAATACAAAAGTTGCCGAATTCTCATCCACGATTACGTCACTTCCGCCGCCTAAAACCCAGGAGGTATACGATCTAGCACTACACACACACACACACACACACAGAGACACACACACATACACACTTTTTGTCTAACACGCTAACACAGTTCTGTGTTCTGTTATGCTGTTGTATTGTTGTATTCAACATAAGAACGATGACTGAACATATTTACTTTGAAAGTAATTATGGGACGTATTTCTTCTTTCATAGCAATTTTTCTTCTTACTTTCTTGCTGTAAAATAGGTCTTAAATTCTATTCAAAGTAGTCTTAAAAAGTCTTAGATTTGAGTTGGTGAAACCTGCAGGAACCCTGAGTAAGCTAACATTATTTAACCTCTTAAGGACGACGGTCCCCCCAGTGGACCCCTCCCACCGAGACAATGTCTGAGGGCTTCTTAACATTTATGAAACTATTAATGTGTAGCACCAGATTAACGGGAAGAATCTCAGCTAACTGAAGATATGAACCATTTTTACCAAAACAAAACACAAGGGTAATACCAAGCCTCTGAATTAGCACTTAGCGAAAAAATGCTAACGCACTTTAGCACACAACTCAAGATAAAGATACCCTTATTACTTATCGTAGCTGCACACACAATATATCAGATCAAAGCTGAGACTCACTCCTTATTTGTTAACGTGTTGGTGTGTATATAACTTTCCCTCGATTCCATTGGCTCTAGCGGTTATAAAGAGATTTCATTCATCAAAATCAACCAAGGGGGGCCAGAGATAGGTCAAATCCACCCAAATGACCCCAGAAGTGTTTTTTTTTAGCTAAATCTCTCTAAAAAGGTCAAATGTCACTTGTTGTGCATCAATCTTGATACAGGGTACTTATTATATGTTGTACTTTGGATTCTTAAAGCTTTTAGTCTACTAACCCATCATCCAAGGGTAGTTTTCACTATAAGTAAAAAAGAATTTTTGGGACACTATAATTTACAGTTTCTTTACTATGTTCAATCTGAATAGTCTTTAAAATAAACACATCTATATTGATTCTGACTTTTCTACATCCAACTCACAGGTTTATCATTACTTTGAGAAAAAAGATTATTAATTTAACCCTTTTAGAAGGGAAGATATAGTCATTTGTTCTGGGAATGTCATTTTCGAGCCTGAGACCTGAAAAACAGGCTCAGGGCTTAACAGGTTAAGGATATTTCAAGATGCAACTACATCATCATTGTATCAGTGGCATAAAATGGTTTTAAATTGCAAAAATATTGTTAAAGACTGAATATTCTCAAAACGAAATATATTGGACTACTTGGGCATGTTTATGATATGTATTATTAATGAATAGTAATAACCTGGTCAGCTGGTTGTGTTTAGCGTTAGCAGATATAACAGAGTTTTGAGAGATTACATGTAGAGTCAATACAAAGACTCAGATCTGTGCCTGGCAACACGAATAAAGTGAAGAAGTGAAATTCATGTCACCTGCGTATTCGTGCAGCGTGAAACATTTCAACTTGAGTGTAAAGTTTGTGACGCTCTGTTACAAAAACCTGTCAGTGTTGAGATTGTGCTCCTGTGGTCTCTGACGGTCTGAGGGGAATCAGAGAGGAGAACAGAGCTCTACAGCAGCTCATATTAAATCAGGGTTATTAATGTTCCTGTATAAACCAGAGACTGTCTGTGGTGCTAACAATATACTCACTGCTGTACTTATGACTACATGAAGTCATTCTGAGTGTTGATGGAGCAGCTCAAATGTTAGCATAGCTTTAATCAAACCGATCTCATTCAGAAAACTTTATAAATGTTTATGCTCGTTGTGTTGGAGACAGACCTGCAAAGCATTAACTCAGGCTTTTTACAAATCACTATCATTCTGTTGATATTTCTGCATCCTTTCCATATTTCTATTGCTATTAATTCACTGCAGATTCTATGTAAATTGTGTTTATAATGCTATAGTGCACCAGGTTAATACAACTGTGTGTGTCTTAGTAGATACAGTGACCATGTGCTCCTCTGGGTGATGAATCCAGACAGGATGCTTTTATAATAATGTGAAGCTTAAACTATCTACCTGATCGCGAAGATATATTATATACAGATATAGACCTATTTTCTAATATCAAACTAGAATTTGCCACCTTGTTGTACCTTTGGTGAGAATCAGCTCCTCTAAAGTAAAGTGCTATAAAGGATGTGTTCATCTCCACAGAGGGAAGAGGAAGAGTGGTGTTCCTGTGGAGCAGCAGCTGTCCAGCTGTGCTCTGTGTCAGGACGTCCTGAAGGATCCAGTCTCTACCAGCTGTGGACACTGGTTCTGCAGACAGTGTATCACCTCATACTGGGAGCAGAGACCTCCATCAGGAGACTCCTCCTGTCCTCAGTGTGGAGAAAGATCCAGAACCAGAGCTGGCCTGCAGACAGCCAGTCAGACCAGCTCTGTACGAGGTAAGAGGCCGAACACATGCAGCGCCTTTAGGCCGTCAGGGCGCTGGGTCTCTACTCTTGTATGAACTCGCTCAGTGTGTCTTCTGATCTTCTTCCAGGCATTGTTTAAGTGTTTTAAAACAGAGAGCAGTGTTTTCCTCAGAAGAAACACTGGACAGATCTAAAGGGGAACGTTAGCCTTGCAAAGAACTTCTACAGAAGATAGTAAAGATATCTGATGGCTAGGATACTTCCTGGTTTATTTGTTTTTGATCAGGTATACTGTTGTAGTGCATAGACAGTAAGCTGTTTTATAAAAATCATAACTTTTTCAACTCTGTCTGTTTTTTGTTGTTATAATTAGATTCTCAAAAGCATTTTCTTATTCTCTCCTGTTTCATCCCAGCAGATAGTGGTCTTCAGGAGGTTTTAGATGAACATAGGCTCAGTCTGAGGAGGAGATGTGAACGTGTGACTGAAGGAACTGATGAAAGTGAAACCCTCCTCAACAGCATCTTCACTGAGCTCTACATCACACAAGGACAGAGTGAAGAGGTTAATACCCAACATGAGGTGAGGCAGCTGGAGACAGCTTCCAAGAAAGAGACCCTCCATGAAACTCCAATCAAGTGCCAGGACATCTTTAAAGCCTTACCTGACCAACAGACTCTCATCAGAGCGGTCCTGACCAACGGAGTCGCTGGAGTTGGAAAAACCTTCTCAGTGCAGAAGTTCACTCTGGACTGGGCCGAGGGTTTGGAAAACCAAGATGTCCGTCTGGTGATCCCGCTCTCCTTCAGGGAGCTGAACCTGATCAAAGGTGAGCAGTACAGTCTTCTCAGGCTGCTCCATGTTTTCCATCCAACCTTACAGAAGGTCACAGCAGAGCAGCTGGCTGTCTGCAAAGTGCTGCTCATCTTTGACGGCCTGGATGAAAGCAGACTTTCTCTGGACTTCAGAAACAATGAGGTTGTGTCTGATGTCTCACAGCAGTCCTCAGTCAACGTGCTGCTGACAAACCTCATCAGGGGGAAGCTGCTTCCCTCGGCTCTCGTCTGGATAACTTCCAGACCTGCAGCGGCCAATCAGATCCCTCCTGAGTGTGTGGACAGGGTAACAGAAGTACGAGGCTTCACTGACGCCCAGAAGGAGGAGTACTTCAGGAGGAGATCGAGTGATGAAGACCTGTCCAGCAGAATCATCTCTCACATCAAGAGCTCCAGGAGCCTCCACATCATGTGTCTGATCCCAGTCTTCTGCTGGATCACTGCTGCAGTTCTGGACCACATGTTGACTACAGACCAGAGAGGAGAGCTGCCCCAGACCCTCACTGACATGTACTCACACTTCCTGCTGGTCCAGACCAAGAGGAAGAAGCAGAAGTATGAAGAGGGACATGAGACGAGTCCACAGCAGCTGACGGAGGCTGACAAGAAGGTTCTTCTGAAGCTGGGGAGGCTGGCGTTTGAACATCTGGAGAAAGGAGACATCATGTTCTACCAAGAAGACCTGCAGCGCTGTGGTCTTGATGTCACCGAGGCCTTGGTGCACTCAGGAGTTTGTACAGAGATCTTCAAAAGAGAGAGTGTGATCTTCCAGAAAACAGTCTACTGCTTTGTTCATCTGAGCATTCAGGAGTTTCTGGCTGCAGTCTACATGTTGCACTGTTACACCAACAGAGACACAGAGGTACTGAAGGACTTCCTGCACAGAGACTGGCCGTATGAGAACAGTAACAACAGTGATCAGGATTACCCATCCCTGGATGTCTTTCTAAAAGGAGCCATGGCGAAATCCCTCAGAAGTAGAAATGGCCACCTGGACCTGTTTGTCCGCTTTCTCCACGGCCTCTCTCTGGAGTCCAACCAGAGACTGTTAGGAGGCCTGCTGGGTCGCACAGACAACAGACTAACATTCATCAAGAGACTCTTCAGAGGCCAGCTGGGTCGCACAGACAACCATCCAGAAATCATCCAGAGAGCCATCAATAACCTGAAGGAGATGAGAAGTGATGAAGTCTCTCCTGACAGGAGCATCAACATCTTCCACTGTCTGACAGAGATGAAGGACCACTCAGTACATCAGGAGATCACAGAGTTCCTGAAGTCAGAGAACAGATCAAAGAAACTCTCTGAGATCCACTGCTCTGCTCTGGCCTACATGCTGCAGATGTCAGAAGAGGTTCTGGATGAGTTTGACCTGAAGAAGTACAAAACATCAGCGGAGGGGAAACTAAGACTAATTCCAGCTGTGAGGAACTGCAGGAAGGCTGTGTAAGTCCAGATGTGATTAACTTTATAAACTGAAGTGGATCAGAAGTTTAATTATTAAAATAAACACTATAAAATGTCTGCTGTTTAAATACTGAGAGCACAATAAAACCAACACTGTTCTTCTATTTATTTATAATAATTGTTAAATTGAACAGTTTTTCTCTCTTCATACTCCTTTGAGAGATGGAGGCGACATGTCAAACACATGAAGGACTTTAGAGGTTTCTCAGCATGTGATCACACCACACAGCAGGACTTACAGTTATCAGTTATTATTACTTTCTAGTAGTTTCTTTATCATTAAACACACACACATTTTATCACAATCTATATCATTTCCCACCAATACCAGAGTTATGTCTTAATGCTGATATACTGAAAACATCTTGCTGATGGTATTTAGATAAAAAGATTGAAACCTTATTGGTTTGTTAATTGTGTTTTTGTTCAAAATACATTTTCAGATGCTCAGAGAAGCAATCTAGCAACAGTGTCTGACAGCAGAAGGTAGCCAACACAGACATGTGATCACAGATTAACGCACACATTAAACTCAATTATAATAATAATTTAATATTATTATATATAATATAAAATGGCATCAGCAAATGTCATTCAGAACATACTGTATGTCAAATATGTATTCATGAAATGCTGGAGGTTAATATAATGTTCCCTCTTTTAAACACATGTTGTAATATTTGTGTTATTATAGACTTACTTACTGTAAACTCTCAGAGGCTCAATGTGAAGTCGTGGCCTCAGCTCTGAAGTCTGACCCCTCCCATCTGAGAGATCTGGACCTGAGTCAGAATGATCTGGAGGATTCAGGAGTGGAGCTGCTGAGTTCTGGACTAAAGAGTCCAAACTGCAGACTGGAGGCTCTCAGGTCAGTTCACTGACTGCACTTCATATGGATCTGTTTGTGTTTATGATTTTGTGAATTTGCCTGAGAACAAAGACATTTTAATTATTTTCCACACTTTTGCTAATGACTGAATATTCATGAGAATAACAAAGAGAAGGTGAAAGTGTGAGGGAGAGTGTTTGAGCTTCCACAGACTCACACTGTGCTCAATGAGTAAGTGAAGATGCTGTCAGTACTGATGAGCTGTGAGGGAGATGAAGGAGTTGTTAAAGTCAGGGGCCTCATTTATAAATGTGGCGTATGCTCAAAAGATGGCGTACACCAATTTCTAAGCAATCTTTGCGATTTATAAAAAACAAAGTTGACGGGAAAATGCGCGGTCCTCTACGGACACTCTGACCCATGCGTACGCACAAAAACGGGAGAGACGAGAAACTGCGACACCGTTGGCAGAAGGAAGAATGGAGAGAAATATGTGGAAATAATGCCATAAATATAATATTACCTCTCATTTATCAAATATGAAGAATTCATTTTCACAAATTGATTAAATCCAATCTTAAAATGATGAAACAAACGCCTGTTTGAGACTCCTCAGTGCACACAAAAACATAACTTGGAGAATCAAATAAATACGGAAATGTTATTGATCACCCCTCGATTATGTTGTGTTAATGTTATGAAATGTTTTCTCATAAATGATGCGGTAAGCAGGAGGACAGAATTACTTCTAAACTGAGGCCGTTTTGCATTTCTATAGGTTGTATAGATACGAGCATGGTTTTATATACTATCATGTTTAATCATGTTTTATGACGTTTCCTAAGACTTGATAAGTCGCTTATAAAACACAGGAGGTATGGAAACTAAGAACACCATATATTTGGTAGATTTGGCAGCTGATATAAGACAACACATTTGTTTTATTTCCTTTAACTGGTGGATATAGAGTTGCTGTGTGGAACACAAACCACCAAATAAAATAAAATAATTCAGATCAAGTCGTCATGACTCCACTCTGGAGGGATTCCCGGATCATTTCTTACAGTTTCTCATCATGGAGGGTCTCCTGTCCCCGGTACAAACACACAAACACACTGCCTGAGGAAGGTTAGGTTATGTGTATTTTTTTTTCGTCATTTCCTGCGATCTTCTTCATGCAGTCAGTCAAAATGAATATTAATACAGGGCGTTTCTTTGACTATTTATAGGCAAATATTGGCGTTACGGTAAGACCGCAGAAGCTGCGCCGCATTTCGAGTGGATTGTGATTTATAAAGGGAAACCGGCGTAGGACCTGCGTGCGCAGTGTTTTATAAATCGGAATATTTGTGTGCGTATTTACTTGCTTTGTCCTACGTAAGCCACCTTCCCACGTGAATCTTACGCAAAGCTTTATAAATGAGGCCCCTGATCAAAGTTAAAGTTCCAGATTATCAATGGATTGTTTCTACATCATCGCTGACATTAAAACCTTGTTTAACTCTGAACAGATTATTAAACCTGGAGTTATTTCAAAAGGGAACATTGTTTTCTAAGTTACATCATGTTTTCTTTATTCAGACTGAGTGGCTGCAGGTTGTCAGAGATCAGCTGTTCTGCCCTGATCTCAGCTCTGAAGTCCAACCCCTCCCATCTGAGAGAGCTAGACCTGAGTCTCAACTACAATCTGCAGGATTCAGGAGTGAAGCTGCTGAGAGATCTTCTGGAGAGTCCAGACTGCAGACTGAAGACTCTCAGGTCAGTTCACTGACTCTCTGTTACTGATGGAGATCTCATATGTTCAGTTTGTAATTGAACCTAATGTATGTACATTAATAACTTGAATCCATAAAGTATCTGGTTCCGAGACCCCAAGTAATCTGAGAGCTGTTCTCTGCCATCATGACACGCAGGGTGTTGATTTTTGACGGTCTAACTGCTGGTGAACTCGGAGCGCTGTTAGAACGGGATGCTCAGATACTCAGAGCAGAGCTCACTGTCAGAGAGCCTGATGTGCAGGGATTGTTAGGGAAGTCATTTTTCTTAATATTATTATATTAATCCTTTAGCTGGCTAACTAGCATACATTGTCACTAACTCCTAACGTTAGCTTTATCCTGCGTTTTCCAATTGATTTTTTAATGGGCCTAATGTTACAGACCGTCACATGTCAATAGTCATGTGTTTTAGACCCTGTGTTAAGGCTACAAACAGATGTGAGGAGTACTTCTAAGTAAAAGTAGAAGAACTCAAATCTTATGCTTTAGTAAAAGTAGAAGTACTCAGATCTTGTACTTGACTAAACGTAGAAGTACTCAAATCTTGTACTTGAGTAAAAGTAGAAGTACTCTGATCTTGTACTTGAGTAAAAGTAGAACTACTCAGACCTTGTACTTGAGTAAAAGTAGAAGTACTCAGATCTTGTACTTCAGTGAAAGTAGAAGTACTCAGATATTGTACTTGAGTAAAAGTAGAAGTACTCAGATCTTGTATTTGAGTAAAAGTAGAAGTACTAGAGTGTAGGAATACTCTGTTACAGTAAAAGTCCTGCATTCAAAATGTTCCTCAAGTGAAAGTAGAAAAGTATTATCATCAAAATATAGTGAAAGTAGCGACAGTAAAAGTAGTCATTGTGCAGATTGGTCCATTTCTGAATAATATATATGATATGTTTTATAATGATTGATCATGAAAGTGTTCTCAAAGCTGGTAAAGGTGCAGCTAGTTTGAATGACTTTGTATACTGCAGGGTAGCTTGTGGATTTACTCCAGGTGGAACTAAAGTCTGATTCAACACTTGATTAGATTTCACATCATTCATCCACATCTGTAAAGTCACTAAATGGATAGATGGGTACTTTATTGATCCCAAATTGGGAAATTATTTTGTTGCAGCAGCAAGGTGTACAGGCATTACAATCGAAAAGGTTAAAGAAAGTATAAACATAATAAAATGAACTAAAATAACAATAACATGATCAATCAATTATGTAAGATCCTTGTCACCTTTTTCGTACCCGATGAGTTTGCATCCCTGATAAAGGTCCTCTGAAGTAATATTAGTTTTACATGATAAAGTTTACTTTCTGAAGGACACACATTTTTTTGTTGTCATTCATTTCAATGTTGAGAAACTCATCTGATTATACATGTATTTGTATTCTCATCTTGTTTTCTTTATTCAGAGTCGAGCACTCCAGTTTGTCAGAGATCAGCCCTGCTCTGATCTCAGCTCTGAAGTCCAACCCCTCCCATCTGAGAGTTCTGGACCTGAGTAACAATGCTCTGAAGGATTCAGGATTGAAGCTGCTGAGAGATCTTCTGGAGGGACCAGACTGCAGACTGAAGACTCTCAGGTCAGTTCACTGACTCTCTGTTACTGCTGGAGATCTCATGTTTCATTAGTTATTCAACCTGATTCTTCTACATTAATATATTACATCCATATGTTTGTAATTGTTGTTTTGTTCATATCTTTGTTTCTCTAAATGTAGTCTGCAGTCATAACAGTTGATTGTTTCCTAAATAAACTATTATTCTTCCACTGTTAGTTGTTAAAGTAAATGTATGTTTTTCTTTAGTAAATGATCTGAATAAAGAAGCTCCTCTGAACTAACATTAGTTTTACATAAAGTTTACTTTCTGACATAGAAATGTTAATGTTCCCATCATTTAGACGTGTTTTCACAGATAATAAACAGAAGGCTGATATAATGATGATCCACAATAACAGAATGACAGTCACTGTAATTCAGGGAATAGATCATTGATTAGGACGCAGTGATGATGAGCTGCACATTTCAGACCTGAACATCTGACTGAATTATAAACTGATTTTTATCCTCATCATGTTTTCTTTATTCAGACTGAGTGACTGCAGTTTGTCAGAAATCAGCTGTTCTGCTCTGATCTCAGCTCTGAAGTCCAACCCCTCCCATCTGAGAGATCTGGACCTGGGTGAGAACGCTCTGAAGGATTCAGGAGTGAAGCTGCTGAGAGATCTTCTGGAGAGTCCAGACTGCAGACTGAAGACTCTCAGGTCAGTTCACTGACTCTCTGTTACTGCTGGAGATCTCATGTTTCATTAGTTATTCAACCTGATTCTTCTACATTCATATATTACATCCATACTTTTGTAAATGTTTTATTCATATTTTTATTTCCCTAAATGTAGTCTGCAGTCATAGCAGTTGATTTATTTTCTTTTTTTGACACTTAATTTAAGACTTTTTTCATTACAAAACATACAAAACAAAGCCAGGCACTTACATCAGTTCGACAATAAAAACGTACAATGTAATCAGGGATACAGAGAAAATTCTCTCTCTTTTTTTTTTTAAATAAGAGCACAAACATTTGAATTTATGTCGTCAGAGTAAACAGCTCCTCGTATGGAGGTCAAATTATGAGAGGATGGGAGGTCACATCAACGACCTCCGGTCCTATTCCAGCAGATACACCAACAATTTTTTCCATCTGGCTAAGTACAAATCTTTTTCAAATATTAGCAGGAAGGTCAATCTTTCCATCTCTTGAATTTCCTTAATCATTTCAATCCAATTATTCGTAGTAGGTATATCTCTCTGTAACCATTTACGTGTAATGGCTGTTTTTGCTGCCACAGTGAGGATTTTTAAGAGATATTTTCGCTTCTTGTAAGTCCTTCCGGTGGATCACCCAAATAAAGGGACATACATGTCAATGGTATTTGCAGCCCAAGGATTTGCTGCACATATCTCCAGACATTTTCCCAAAATTGTTTTATCTTTGGGCAGGACCAAAACATGTGGTGGTGATCCGCTCCACTATCTCCACAGTCTCTCCAACACGAAGAATCGTTCGGTGTAAAATATCTTTTCAGCTTTGAAGTAATAAAAAAACGCACCAGATTTTTCCAACTGAATTCACGCCATTGAGTAGAGCAGGTTGTAGAGAAAATCATTTCACACGTTTTCCCATTGTTGAGTGGTTATTTTCACATTCAATTATTTTCCCATCTCTCCGTGATACACCTTGTAGTATTTCCTCGACCCATAGCAAGTCCCTGATAAAGTTTTGGAATTACTGATTTAGAATCACCTGTGTATGCCTTTACTGTACATTTTATTATTTCGTTATGTTATCCTTTTATTATTTCCCATTAGTGTGCAGTAAGCAGTGATACCAATATTCTGAGAATGCTGCGTGGGGTCTGGGTGCAGTGGTGCGCGGCTCGCTGCTGTGAGGAGGGGACAGTGTGAGCTGGATTACTGGTGTCGTTTCCTGGTTGCTGCGTGGGGTCTGCGAGACAGCGAGACATCGCGAAACTCAGCCTGAACTCAGCCTGAGCACCATGGACTACGAGGCTCCACACTAGCACCCGCACCCCCAAATGCGGCGCACCTATAGTGTAGGGTTTGTGACTCTGCAGACCGTTTACATGCAGAAAAAGCTACACAACACATAAGGGGACGGGTAATAACCGGAAAAGCAGGACATGGGACCTTCAACCAAACACCCAGGTATTTTATTCCTTTTTGAGACCAGTCAATGGGAAGTCTTTGTTTAAGTTCAGAGGAGGGATGACAGTTAAATGCTAATATATGACTTTTTGTTATATTTAGCTTATAGCCTGAATATGTAGAAAACAGTTCAAGGAGATCAAGAAGGGCAGTAAGGCAGACGTCAGGGTTACGAACATATAGCAATACGTCATCCGCATACAATGCTATTTTGTGTTCTGTGTCTTTAATAGTAGTTCCCTGTATGTTACAGTCCTCTCTTATTGCCTGTGCCAGAGGTTCTATGAAGATTGCAAAGAGTGTTGGTGAAAGGTCAGTGTATGTTTTGGTCATTGGATTTTCTTTTCACAAATGGATATTCAAAAACAAAAAACGACTGGATATTACATTTTTGTTTTAAAATTGAAAAGCCATAATTGAAATTCAAGGCATTTTTCTTTATCATGGTCAAAAAGGGATTTACTAAACTTAAAAAAACGGGATGATTTTCATTTTCTACTTCTCAAAACAAAAAATAAAATCACTAGAAAACAGAAACAAAAAAACTAGCGTTTTTTCCTATTCTGCTACCGGAAGTTAGCTTACAAAATAAGAGTGCAGATGAGGACGGTCAATCCGTGTATCTACGGTCCATTTGTTTTTCTTTATTAAACCAGTAAAGGGAAGAGGCCTTTTTGTTTTTTGCTTTTTACCTTATTAAATGGTCATTGGAGCGAGGGGCGGGGCGAAACTCACGGAAGTGATTTCAAAACAAAAGCACTCGTTTGCTTGGAACGGTGATAATATTATAAACAAGGTGAATTTAGTAATATTTGTTACCACAAGTTCTTAATAAAACTAACACTGTTGGACTCTGTATTAGTTTGACTGCTACCAGAAATAAAATGAAGTACTTTTACTGTGTACTTTGTGAGTAATCCTCTGTCAGAGTCCCCTCCATAGTACATAATGCATGTTTTTCTGCTATCTTTGATGAATGATAAAAAGACAATTTTACCATGAGTTCTTAATGAAATTGATACTGTTTGACTTTGTATTAGTTAGCCTACTACTAACAATACATTGAAGTACTTTTACTGTGTATTTTTTGAGAAATCCTCTGTCAAAGTCCCCTGCTGAGAACAAAATCAAGCCACTTCTGCTAAGTTTGATGAGGGAATTCTTTTTTGTTACCATTAGTTCTTTGTGAGATTGATCCTGTTGGACTCAGTACTACTGAAACTACCCCCACAAGTACTATGAAGTACTTACTGTGTACTTCTCCAGTAATCCTCTGTCAATGTCCCCTCCTGTTTACAGGAATGCATGTTTTTCTTTTAATAAGCATTAAAAAACCTTTCTTCCTGAGACTGATATTATTGGACAGAGTACTTTAAAGGGCCCATGTCATGGCCATTTCCACTGATCATAATTACATTGTTGAGGTATACTAAAATAGATTTATACTGTGCAATTTTCCAAACTCACATTGGTTTCGCATACAGCATCTCTGTCAAGCATGTGTATTCAGCAGTATTCACTTTCTCCACTAAACGACTCGTTGGAGCTCTTGTCCCCCCCTCCCTGTGAGCCTAGTGTGCTCCGATTGGTCAGCTCGGCCACTCGTTCTGATTAGTCAACCACCAGAGAGGCTGCGCCCATGTCAGTGCTTTTCCCCGGCTGCTCTCAGCGTAACATCAGTCTTATCATGGCGTCGGTACAGCGGTATATTTTATATACATATATATTTTTAACTGTTGTTATAGAAGAGTGTGACGGCCCCAGGGCCTTTGTCTTACGATGGGGTGGAGCTGAAGAAGCTAATCAGCACGATCACGGACACCTCCGGACACTACGGCCCCAGTCTCTCTCCAAAGCGGCTGCAGGAAGACTAACTCTGCGATCCTCTCAACCACCTATCTTGCATTTACCACAATAAATGTGCCGTGGTTTTGTAAACTCGTGTATGTCTCCTTGTCTTTCCGTTGTGGCCTACGAGCTACTCTCATAACAAAGAGTAAGTTATTTTTACCCGTTATAAACTACTACTGTTTGATGAGAAATCAAATCATGGTTTGCTATATATGAATTCAGGGAAGAAAGGATAGGCCTACTAAGTATTTCCATTAAACTTTATTTTTAGAAATGTACAAAATGAACATAAATATACATATATACACGGTATATCATCCATTCCTCCTCCTCTTGCCTGCGCACAGCCGGTGCGGTGCGGTGCCTTTTAGCACGAGGCCTCAGTAGTAGTAGAATCCCTTCCCCGTCATGGATTGTCCGCCAGGATCTGGCTGGACGAAATCAAATGCAAATCACAAAATATTAGAGAAACTTAGTTGTTTTAGATTCGTTAGTAGTAGTTGTGTAATGAACAGCTTGCCTGCTAATATGCTAACCTAGCTTTGTTTACCTTGGTAGCTAACACGATATGAACGTTAGCTTGGAGGAAAGGCAACTATAATGCAGTGTAATAAAACTACTATGAACAAAAGCTAGTGGTTCATATTAGGCTAGCAATAACGTGTTTATAATTGCAATCGTATACGGGTATTCTGCTACCATACAATGTAACTTGCATGAATACATTGTTTTGCGCTAGCATACAGCTAGCCTCGTTAGCTACATGCAGTATATGTACGGTCACAATGTACGGTAAACCGGAGTATACTGTATGAGTATTCCGTGTGTGTGACTGCAGACATTCTCCTGCCATGACAAACATGTAAGGCCATCTGCTGACATTGTAGTTGATATATTTAAACGCTAGCAACGTAGCATCACAAAAATGTTTTTCTGACCAAAACTAGCTCAAGCTCCGTGTGTTAGATCGCTACGCCAGCTATAATGTAATTACGTTTCGCGACTGACCGGCAAATCACCCGCAGTATACTGTCAATAGGTATTTTGTGTGTGAATGCAGACATTCTCCTGCTATGAGATACATGTATGCAAGGCCATCTGCTGATATTAGAGTTGATATATGGAAACTCTAGCAACTTAGTTAGCACAGTTAGCACTGTGTCAATGGCTTAGCAGTCCAACACAGTTTACACATTTAAACAGTCTTGTTTGATAAATACACAAATAACAATGCAAACTTACAGGTTGTATACCCAGATCTTCCCCTGCTCCAAACGGTCCAAACAAGCTGTGCATATCCGGCCTCAAACTGGGCAATGTTTTTGGAAGCTTTCGTCTGTGAAATGCCGGTTCTTCGAACCTCTGGAGGAGGAACACGCCGCTGCTGGTGTGGCCATAGCTCTTCGGGATTGGTCCATTTCGTTCCGGGTACCGCATGACATCAGGCGGTACCCGGAACTAAATGGAAGACTCAAATGGGCAGTGACGTATCTCAACGAGGCGTTTTGGGGAGGTATTTTCTGTGTTAGAGTTTTACTCGCTACAGGGTGTACTTTGAGGGGTTTTTGACTCTGCACACCGTTTACATGCATAAAAACCTTCATAACACACAAGGGGACGGGTAATAACCGGAAAAGCATGACATGGGAGCTTTAAGAGGATATGGTAGACATGATATCAGCAATAC